GGCGGCCATGGCCCCGCTCGCCTGCGCGCGCGCGCCGCCCCGCTCCGCGCATGCGCGGGCCCCGCCCCACCCGCGGAGCGGCCCCTCCGCCCCCGCCCGGAGCCGGGACTGGAAGGGGATTTTGGGTGGAAAGCACCGGGAATTTGGCCGGGGAGGTTACGCTCCCCGCCGGCTAGAGGGGTCTGGCACTAGTGCCCTTCGCCCGCCCCCACGAAAGGGCAGAAGTTGTGGTTTGGGTTCGGTTTTGGGTCCTCCCGGGACGCGTGGACTCGCCAGGGCAGCGGCGAGTCTGGGAGATGACTCAGAAAAGCCGGTCAGCAAAATTTGAGGTAGTGTCTGGGCAAATGTTTAAAAGGCAGCCCTGCTATTTTAATAGTACTCTTTAGTGGCCTTGTGGAACACAAAGTGCTATATTAATTTCAAATACTAAAGGCTGACTCTGTTTTTTTCCAGTGTTGCACTGCAGAATCTCCAGTCATCTTTGTTGTGAGATCAACCAGAAAAAAACATCAGAATTTCTGTATTACTGCACTGTCATTTTTCAGCTGGAGACCTGAGCCAGAGGCAGCTCCCTCAGCCCAGTTCATGCTTCAGAGCCCTTGCATGAAAAGTCTCACCAGTATTTACTCATCCTGTAAAGGTTGCGTGGCCAGGCCCTAGCACACATTCCTAAGTGGTATGGAAAAAATTATGATCCAAGAGAAGTAATGTTTTTTACCTTAATATTTGAAAAAAAAATACAAAGCCACATTGTCTGGAACATGAAAAAAAACTTTGCTGCAGTGAGGAATGAGGGAATACACTGAACTGGAAAATCCTGTAGTTCACGAGGGTTGGGCTAGCCAACTTAATAATTGCTTTTTTCCTTCCATCTCTAATGAGAACTGGAGCATTCACAGACATAGGTATTAACAGTGCATGGCTTTAACACAGTGTCTAACTCTGTGAAGCAGAGATATTAAAATAAGAGGTTTGGGTGTCTATTTGCATTCTGATTTGCAACATTACCCTTGTCTGAGTACCCAAAGGTTTTTAAGCCGACAGAAGAAAAGGGTAGTTTGAACGTGTCTGTGGTGGGGCTCTGCCTTGCTGCATCCTCAGCTGGTTGCACTTGGTGTTCACACTGGGCCAGTCTCCAAAACTCCAGTCAGTCCACAATGCAGAAGGAAGGAGACCAAATGGCACAACTGACGGGGGTGTCCTAGACCTTTGCAGGTACCACAGAGGAGCTAAGCACAATTTTTCACAAGCTTCAGATTTTAATGCTATTTGAAACAATAAAAGGCTTTTTATTGAAAAATTTTTAGTTTGAAGCAAATAGTCCATGCAAGGATTCCTAAACTCGGTAATTCTTCTCTTTAGAAAGAACCAACCTGCATGTCCTGCCAAACTAAGGACATAAACATGTGATTGTTACTCATAAGCACTTCATGCTCTGGTCAGGCTTAGGAGGTTCACAGAGCCTCCTGTGCACAGGGCTTCTCTGATCTGCTCAGTGTCTCCTCTCAGCAGTTGGGTTTCCTCCTTTGTCACTTAACAGGTCCCTGCATGACAAATATTTGCAGGTCTTGTTTTATGTATCTTCTTAATAATCATGCCACTATCAGTCAATCCTGTTGTACCTGGGGTAAACACACTGCTCCAAACCCTGGACTCTGCTTCACCAGTCTCCAGCCACCCTGTTTTTCTGCCTGGCTCAGCCCACTCACCACTGTGCCCTTGTTTAACACTTGCCAGTACCTCACTTCTTATCACAAGGAGTATGAATCAGTGTCATATAAGGCATAAGAATTTCGGCCTCATTTCCAGGGGCTGCTTGTCTACTCATGCCATACATGGAAAAAATTCATGAGTCACTTCTTTTCTGTTCTTTGTGGGCTCAGTTCAACGCTGACCGAGGTTATGGGGATGGTGCAGGATCTCTAAGTCCTACCTCTCTGCAAAGCTGCATGGGAGACAAAAAGACAGCAAGCAGATAGAGATAAATATACATTCACAACTATAGACAGTAACAGGTATTTATAGGAGTTGAACTGGAAGTATCTATTATTATTTTAGAAGTAATTATATCACGAAAGTATTGTAGCAAATCCCCGAAGTTCTCGCTTCAATTTGCAAGCAAACAATAGGAACTGAACCCCACCTTTATTTCATTCTATCATCTCTCAGCATATAATTCTGTAAATGTGTTACTTCACAAAAGCAAAGGCTTTGTAATGAGCAGATCAGGTATGTGCCGTTACCACTGTTTTGTCAGACATGGCTTTTTAAAAGCACCTCAACTTTCTGCTTCATTTCTCTGGAATTTTAAAAGCCTTCCCTGCATTTTACACTGGGTGGCTGAGAATTCTGAACTCAATGACTGTTCATCTTTCATTATTAACAGAGGCCTTTGGATTCCAGAATTTCAGTGATCAGCAACTGAAGACAGAAGGGCACCACTATGGTGACATCTCATTAAAACTTTGAAAAGACCTTCTCAGAGTTCAGATAATGTGGAAGCTTGATTTGTCCATGCAGATGGACAAATGCCAGCACCCCAAACTGCTTACAAAGAAAATCCCTCATAAGAATTCTCAAAGAGCAGCAAAATATGCTGACATGGAAGGACATTGCATGCATAAGGTGGACAATAACATGGGCAGTTTTATTTGAAGCTTTTTACAAGCCATTGTTTCAAAAAATACTCATACATACATATGTAACAGCAAAGGAATGTCTTAACAAGTAGGTTATATTGCATAAAGTCAGGCAAAAGTTAAATAATGCAAAAATTAAGATTGCCTGTGAAACCTAATTTGGTGCCTCGTGTGTAATACTGATGGCAGCCAGCCCCCAAAGCCTTTCTGTTCTCTTCTTGCAATTTTATCCCATTCACTAAACAAAGGAATGAATAAATTTTAATTAAACTTTAATTCAGGCAGAAACACATACCCAGGCAAAGAAATTGGGAGCATTACTGGGTCCCACAATAGTAACAGAGCCAGTGCATCTCTCTCTGATTTACCTACTCTCACTCTGTATCTCCATCTCAAAAATTCCCCTGCTTTTCATTATTGTGACCCTATTTCCTAAATTTCTGCCCATCACTTAGCTTCTCATCAACCCTTATTTTTCCTCTCACTCTCACTGCTTTTCAGAGCTCTTTCTAGAATTCAGCCAGTCACAGTTTCTGAATTTCCTATTTGTTTTCACTCTCTTCAAGAAACCACTTCTGCAGTATCTCCGATAATTAAATCTCTCCTATGATTACATATATTTTTACCACTTCATAACGCTGGAGAGTGCTGACTCCAAATAAACAGCTGCTGTGATTTTCAGTGTACCTAAAGGAAAGCCATAGCAATCTCTGTGTTGAAAAGCTGGAGAGCTGGGTGGTGATGTAAGGAAAGGGATGAATCAGGTTTTGTTCAGCGAACAAAAGCATCACAGTTCTTTCCCAAGATCCCTTGCCAGTGGGGCATAATCTAGAATACAAAGAATCGAAGTAAATAAAATAAAAATCATTGGGCTGAATAGTGGCAGAAGAATAACAGTTGCATTCAGAAAGTGGAAAATCATATGGTACACGGGTACAAGCCTCTAGTATTTATAACATCTCACAGTGCCAACATTAACTAAATAATCCTGAAAAAAACTCCTGTAAGGAAACTACATAAATATTATTCTAACCTCCCTTTTATTGATAAAGAAGCGGAGACAGAGACTTACTGTATTAGTGATAACCTGAAAAAGTGTTTAAATTCAAACTTGAGACATTTCCATGTCTTCAGCTGAGCTGCCAGCTCCTAAAGCATTATTGAACACTGGGAATGCAGCACTCAGTGTTGTGCCTGGAGTCACAGTGACTCAGAATCACAGGGAGCATTCAAATGCTGCATTTCTGGGGCACAGTGATGGCAGTGTCCAGCACACCCCGCTGGCTGCTCTGCTGCAGTCAAGTGGTGATAAGCAGGGCAGGAGACTTGCACACACACGGCTGAATCAGGCTGGAAACACTGGGATGGGATTAGACTTCCAGAGTATGACATTCTCAGACATCACTGTTTCTAGCACCTGCTTAGAACAAACTGTGTAATAGAGAAAGGGAACAGAAAAAAGCAATAAAGTATTGTAGAAAACTGTAAAAAGAGGTGTGAGAGGAAACCAGAGCATAAAACATATTAAGAGTAAAATACACTGCTACCAAGGTACTTTAGGGATTCCTCTATTCTTAGTGCAGAATATGGGCTCTGTTCTAGATATTTTCCTAATGTGGGTTCAATTTATAAGTGGGGTAGAGGCTGGTGCATATTCAAGTGAGTTTTCTGAACCAAAAAACAATTTGGAAAAACCCCAAAACTTTTAAGACTTTGAAATCTGTCTGTTGGTCCCTTCTTAGTCTGCAGCACATTAACAACTGCACTGACTCTCCCTGTTAAAGTCACTGAATAAAGAAATATTTAGCATCTCTCAGGCCTGCAATGTCATCACCTTTTGCTTTCTACCTCCTTAGATCACAGAGACGTGATCTAATCTCTTAATTCCCAAAGCAACCTTTGGAGCTTTCCACACAGTTTTCCGCTTTAAATTTTCAAGGATTCTTACCCAGCTTCCCCCTGAGTTACTTGTGGGAATTTTTTCTCTCTTACATGCAGCATGAACAGCAATTTAGGAGATGAGCTCCTGGGTTTCAGTAGTTATGCACAGGAGTGCATTGCTCAAAACGCTCAGAAATGCGTGATGTGAACCTGAGGCACAGGAAGGGAGCCAGGAGGCATCAATCTGACATGCAGTCACTTCTTTTATTTCACCCTGGAGCATCCCAGGACGTAGCAGTGCACATCAAGGTGAAAGGGAACGTGCATGTGCTTTAGAATTTCCACACTGCTCTTCCTGCCTCTTGCCTCTACTAATTTACCACAGTGCAAACCCACCACGAAACATATTCCTCAGTACAAAGAAAAGATTATGCTGTTTGGGCTTTGAATTGTAATTATATGGTCATAGTCAAATCACCACTTTGCACTTATTAACATTAGGATTGAGCACCACCATGTGTTTTCACAGCTAAATAAATGGAATTATTTATCTGCACCATATGAATGTAGTCAGGATAAGAGCATCTTTCAAGGATGTCCTAAAAGCCAGGATACTAAAACACCAGCATCACACCAGAAACTAGATATGTATAAATACCTATAAATACCTTTTCATATAACTCCTCAAACAGAAAAAAAACCCCAAACCCAAAACCCTACTGCCTCTTTTTCAAGAGAGCTTTTTCAAAGCCAACAAGAAAATAATAAAAAATATTTAAAAAAAATTACAACTAGAGAGGTGATCACACTACGTGTCATTTTTGTAGCCTGAATTTTTAAGAAGGCCTGGAGGGTGCATATTTTCATGACAGGGTGTGACTTCAATTACGAGTTGCAGCTTTGGAAGCTTCCCAGCATTACTGCAACGCGCTGCCTGCGTGCAGAGGACAACTGTGTGTCATTAAAGCAAAAAGTAAACCCTTGGTGACTGGGATACAAACACAGCAACTGGTTTTAAGTGGACTTACGTGCAGTCAGAAACTAAACTTGACAATAACAGTCGTTACAGCAATTTCCCATTTGCACCACTCTTCTGGAAACCAAAGCAGTGCTTTTACATGAAAACCTGAACACAGAACAAACTCAAAATTCATATCCAGGCAGGAAATACATTAAATTAATATCCACTTAGGAAAGAAATCAGGCTTCTACACACTTTTTGCTTATACTGCCCTTCTCCACTGAGATTTATTTATACTAGGAATAGCTCTTAGAAGTTCCAGCAGCCACTCCGAAGAAACTTGGACTCAGTACAGAGCTGTTTATCTCTGCTCTTTTGTTCTCTTCCCTACTTATTACCAAATTAAAAAGAGAGAGAAGAACTATCTAACCTCTCAACACAGCAAGACCTAAGGTAATGGAGGACTGAAACCTTCACTTCCTTCCCCAAATTTACCACCATCTCTACCAAGTGGAACCGCAGCCTGTGTCACCTCCATGTGATTTCACATAAGAAACCACACTACTGCACAACAATTTTCTTCCCTTTAAACTATTTCTGTAAAGCAGAATACGTGAGTGCAAAAGGCCATTTTGGGGCAAAGTACATTTTTATTTCTACATCTGTTATCCATCCACAAAACCACTGCAGCTGAAGCTAGTTCCCAAGAATCCCACCAGTAGCCAAGAAGTGACCCTTGATTCAACAGATACAACAATATACCTGTAGAGAGTCAGCTTAGGAGTTAAGGGAGCTTTGAGTCATAGAATCATGGAATGGTTTGGGTTGGAAGAGACCTCAAAGATCATGTAATTCCAACCCTCCAGCAGTGGGAAGGAACACTTTCCACTAGAGCAGGTTGCTTCAAGCCCCATCCAACCTGGTCTTGAACACTTCCAGGGATGGGGCAGCCACAGCTTCTCTGGGCAACCTGTGCCAGTGTCTCACCTCCCTCACAGGGAAGAATTTCCTCCTAACATCTAATCTAAACCTATTCCTTCAGTGTGAAGACATTCCCGCTTGTCCTGTCACTCCGGGCCCTTGTAAATAAGTTTCTCTTCATCTTTCTTTAGGCTCCCTTCAGGCCCCGGAAGGCCACAATTAGGCCACCCCGAAGCTTCTCCTCTCCAGGCTGAACAATCCCAACTCTCTCAGCCTTTCCTCATGGCAGAGCAGCTCCATCCCTCTCATCATCTTGGTGCCTCCTCTGGACTCGCTCCGTGTCCTTCCTGCGCTGGGGACCTCAGAGCTGGGGGCAGCGCTGCAGGGGAGTGTCTCAGTCGGTATCCGTGGGTACGGAACAATCTTCTTTAAAGGTTGACAGAAAAGACACACTGGCGGCACAGCTGCCCCTGCAAGCCGCCTCTGCGGCCTCCCCCGGCGCTGAGCTCCCACGGGCGCAGCTCCCTGCGCGACCCCGCTCCCAGGGAGCTCCCTCACGGAGCAGCCCCGCCGCCGCTGCCTCCCGGCCCCGCGCACATCCGGGGCCTCCCGCTTCCGCCGGGCGCCAGTTCCGCTTCCTGCGGGCGGACGGGACGGGGCCGGTGCCGCGGCCGGTGAGCGGCCGCTCCGCGCTGCGAGGGCGGATCGGCGGCCCCGGGCAGGCCGGTGGGTGCGGCGGGGCCGGGGGGGAGGCCGGGCCGGTGTGGGGAGGCGGGGGCGGGCGGCTGTGGCGGCCGTGCCGTTGCCCCCGCGGGGCGGGAGCGGCGCCGGGGCCGCAGCAGCGCCGTGTGGGAGCTCCCCTCGCCAAGGCCGTGTCCGTGCCGGGACAGCCCGGCCGGGGGAGGGGGGCGAACCCGGGCTGGCACCGAGCTGGCCCCAGACCCCGCTCCCCACCTGTTACGGGGCCGCACTTTGTACGGCTCATCAGGCACTTTGTGTGTTTCGGGGGTTTTATCTTTATGTTGCTTAGTGGGACTTAAAGATGTGGATGTCTCTCTTCGCGATCTGCCAAGATAAATCGGTGCGATGCTACAATTTCACAGCACGACTTCAGCGCTTTCTCTATGACCTTCCAATCCGTTGGCTCTTGGTGGTCCAAAGGCCTTGTGAAGGCTCAGGAGGTGTAATTAACCCAAGGAAGTTGTATTTCACAGCACCCAGCCCCCATGGTAGAGCCCTTCTCCCCACGTCTTCCTCTGCTTCTGATCCACTTTTTTGTATTCATTGATTCGGTCCCCGTGTTTGGTGTGGGATAAAGGTGCCTTGTCCATGATGCTGCTCATTGTGACAGGGCTGTGGTTGTGTAAGGATCAAGGGTTGGTCAAGTGCTCAGCTTTGGAGGGATGAGCGTTTCAATTTAGCGCTGGACAGAGACTTGAGAAGTTTTCTTGCAGTTCTTGCCCTGTGCATTTCCTTGCAGAATGATTTGAGGTGTATGGTACAGGTAAGGAAACAGGCAAATAAACCCTTCTTTCTGTAAACTTAGTGCAAGGATTGTGGACAGGAATAATTTATGGCAGTAACCCTATGTATCAACATTGCTTGACATTGCAGCCTTAATCTCAGTCGAACCTCTTGGTGCTTCTAAGACCCCTTCCTCATGAGTCTTTTTCACAGTATAATACCAGGTCTCTATCTGATTTGAGAATACTTGGGGGAAAAAAGGTAAAAAATCATTCATTTTTTGTGATACCACTTTTCCTCTTCAGTTTGTTTTCAGGACTCATAGGGGCAGTAGTGTGGAGATGAGGCTTGTAGTGTCCTCAGCAAGCAGGTTGTATCTAGCCTACTTCTCACCTGGTCTGAGCTTGGTGGGGATATGTGAGCAATTACTTGTTTGTTCCCAGTAGCTTTTACTGCATAAAAGAGAAGTATTTTGGCTGAGAGTAGGTAACCACTGACAATACAATGCTAGAGAGGAAGAGGAATCAGATTTTTGGATTCTGAGATTTTTTAGAGTTGTCAGACCTGCATTTATTGGTATAATGCACTTCTTGAAGGTGGATAGCCCCAGGTTTTTCACAGGTCTGCCCTCTCTTTGAATATCAGTCTTTTGAGGACAATTTCACCATCAGTGGTGCAGAGGCCTTCTGTGCATCTCCTGACACTCTGTATCAGCCTTTTCATACCTTTCTAGCTCCTTGATTCTCTGTTTCCAAGCCCTAACAGACAAAACCATGTTCCTAATTTTGCATTAACCTAAAAATCTTGTATTTCTGCTGTGTTTAATGTAGGACTAAACTGTTAAATACAGTTTGTATAAACGATGCTGTGTAAACTAAGGATAGTATAATTATGGTTGTTTTGTCAGCACTGCAATGCAAGTGCAGTTCTTGCAGCGTAATTGCATTGTGCGGGTGTATGTTTTGGCTTTGTTTTCAAATTCCTACATTGATATTGCTACAGTGAGATGTGACCTGGGGTGTGTATTACTGCAGGTAATGCACAGTGAAAGGGATTAGAGAAATCCAGTGCCAAAAATGGACTGTAGTGTTCAGAAAACTATTTTTATGTGTTTATGTATTTTAGGTATTTAATATTTGCTGTTTTATTATTGCATGTGTAAAGGTATCCACGGGTGGTTGCATAAGTGTTGCAGAGGACGTTTCTGAGCTTTGCAATGACTGTTATGGTGCTGCAGTGCTCTGCTCAAGTGCTGGGTGTGCAGTGCACAGGCTGTACCTGCACAGAACACACAGTGAACGGTGAATGTGACATTGCTAAATACATCAAAGTGGAACTCAGAGCCCCAGTTCTAGCACTGTTCTTTATCCCTTTGTTTCAACACTTTATCAACATGTTTATCTTCTGCTCATGCGAAACAAACAGCTCTTTGATGTGCAATATAATAAAAAATCAAGAATACTTTAAATAGATGTTATGGTTTGTCTTCTGAAAAGAGCAGTTCTCCTATTTCTTCCTTACATGATCTTTGTTTTCCTCCTGCAGCAGATTTTTCAGAAAACAATACTGAACATATGCTTCAAGGATGTCTCTCTCTCTCATAATAAAATGGGGTGGACAGGAGTATACAATAACCTCGCTGTCAGAAGAAGACACAGTGTTGGACCTGAAACAGTCTCTTAAAGGCCTTACTGGAGTGTTACCAGAGCGTCAAAAACTACTTGGGCTTAAAATGAAGGGTAACTATTCTTATTTGATGTTTGTTGTGGATGTGCCTGAGATGTTTAAGGACAAACATCCTCTAAACCTAGGCAAGATGCCCACTAACAGGGCATCTACCTCCCAGTTCTAGCTCTCAAGTGAACATGAATACAGACATTTTATAAATCACCGGATATTGATTATTATTGATACATTTACCTGGTAATTTTTTAGTGGTTGCCATGGAAATGTGCAAATATATGCTAAAAAGAAGTTAAATTGCTGCTAGCCAGATAAGCAATGTGTCTGTATGTTGTGGTTTAAACCCACCCAGCAACTAAGGACCACAGAGATGCTGGGTCTCTGCCCCATCCCAGTGGAGAAGAGAACTGGGCGTAGAAAAGTAAGTGTCATGGGTTGAGGTAAGAACAGTTTAACAGTTGAAACAGAATAAAATATAATACTAATTATAATAATGAAAATAGTAATGAAAAGGGGAAACAGAGGCATAAAACCCAAGGGAAACAAGTGATGCACAATACCATTGCTCACCACTCACTGACTGATGCCCAGCCTGTCCCTGAGCAGCCATCGGTGGCTCCCAGCCAATTTCCCCCAGTTTATATACTGGACATGATGTTCTGTGGTATGGAATATCCCTTTGGCCAGTTCCTCCCAGCTTCTTGCACACCTGGTCACTGTCAGAGCACAGGAAACTGAAGAGTCCTTGATTTAGAGTAAGCACTGCTTGGCACCAAAGAACCATCAGTGTGTTATCAGCATTATTTCCATACTAAATCCAAAACACAGCACTGCACCAGCTACTAGGAATAAAATTAACTCAATCTCAGCTGAAATCAGGACACTATATGGAAGAGAATGATAATACAGCTTGGGATAGCTGGTATTTTACAGGGAGCTTATTTCAGTTAAGCATGAAATGTATTGACATTTTTCTAAAATCTATCCCAGTAAAAAAATTCAAATATTACCTGTTTCTGTTACAGGCAAACCTGCAGATGATGATGTCAAGCTTGGAGCTCTCAAGTTGAAACCAAATACAAAAATAATGATGATGGGCACTCGTGAAGAGAGTTTGGTAAATATTTTACCTGTTTATTAGGTTAAATTTAATTTAATTAAATTTAATTTAAATTGTGATTTTAAATTTTAAATATTTCAGTCATCATTTGATAAATGATATAGTACAGTAGATTTCTGTTTGCATTTATTTTTCTATGTAAAGTTAGCTTTCCTGAAGATTTCTGAGAGCAGTGTGTATTCATGAAACTCCTGTATTGCTCTGGACTTGAAGTACAAACCTATTATTATGATATTCACTGACTTCTCAGATTGAACGATCATCAGTATACTTTAGTAATTCTTTCCACTACTTAAGTGAAATCATTTTGGTTAAATAGTATTTTTGTCCTGTAATGTGCAGTAACAGAAACTCGATATCCATTGTTATTTTCCTTCTGTGATTCTAGTTATCTTTTATTATTATTCCTTTAGGAAGATGTCCTTGGGCCACCTCCCGATAACGATGATGTGGTCAATGACTTTGATATCGAAGAGGAAGTTGTGGAAGTAGAAAATAGGTTAGGAGTTTTAGCTATTAAAACAGTTTGTTTGTTATTGAATGTAGAGTGTGCATTTTAATTAACTGTAACTTTTTGCACTGTTACATTAGGGAAGAAAATCTACTAAAAATTTCCCGTAGAGTTAAAGAATACAAAGTGGAAATTCTGAATCCTCCTAGAGAAGGGAAAAAGCTGCTGGTTCTAGATGTTGATTATACACTTTTTGGTGAGTTTTTATGCAACTTGTGGGATGTTTTTGTTTTAAGAGCTCGGTTCATTTGCCAGATCACATTTTTTGAGTTTTGCTTTG